GCAACCGAAAACTTGACATGCACAACTTCTCACGTTTTACCCGCACGCATTTCATGCGTGAATTTGACGGAGTTCCAAAAGTGCTCTTCTTACAAGAAACGCCCTATACTCTGCCGAGGCGCGAAGACCCCTCCGCAACGGATATCGAGCAGAATATCTTTACGGTGCCATTAGAAGCAACAACAGCAGCAGTGAAGTTGGGGCCGGTCGTGGCGTCGGAGGAGGGTCGAGGCACTCCGGGGAATCAAAAGGCGGGAACGCCCCCCCACCCCACCCTCTACCTCCCTCGCTCGCTCCATCTTCCGGGAGCTGCGGCGGTGCAGCTGGCAGAACGCCTTCGGTGAATTACTGACGTCACCGAGCGACGCCGGTGCCAGTTGCGCGAGGTCAGCGCAAGGGGGTTGCTATGGCGACCACGCCCCCTACATTTTTCTCCCGGCCTCCCGGCGGGGACGCTCCGGCTCAGCGCGGCCGATCGCGTTAAGAAAGTGTGCGAGTTTGTGATTGGACGCGCCATTTATCACTGGGAGGCTTCGTAGTTTCGGACAGGAGCTCTATTCCTCGTATGATGTGAGAAGGAACTGGAAAAAATAATGTTGTTTTCGTCTTTCATCATTTTGCACGGTTTAGTTATACACTGTGCGAAGAATAAGTATAATACTTAACATTTTCTAATTTTCCTGCAATTTAATATTATCTTTGTAATATATGCCACGAATTACAATTTGAGTGATGTGCCTAATTTAAAATTATTCATGTAAGTTTTGAGGAACTGAAAGAGTGTCCAATCAATGAAAACTTGGCCAGATCGCATCGTTCTCGTTACTTAAGTCAACTGCAGCTAGCCTATTGGAAAGTTTGAGTTAAAGAAAAAATATGAGACTACTCCGTTGGTAATCTATACATTCAATTCAATATAATACTTTAATTGAATTAACAGTTATTTTTCGTGCAATCTCTCCAAAGAATTCTCTATGATATTCACTCATGACTAGTGTATATACACTGATGTCGGATAATACAATTGGAGTTTAATCGTTATGTCGTTAGTATTAAAAATCCAAGGCAAGGAAAATGTTGAGTTAAAATGTACATTTTTTTAACTTTTGATTTTGCCAATTGAAAATGATTTAGTACTTTTCTTTGCTTAGTCGTTGAGTATATAATTTAATAATAATGTAATAAATTAATGAAGATGGGAGGTAGATTGTATGGCGGAAAGTTTGTTCCGGAAGCAATATTTAATCAATTTTAATAATCGTAATTTATATATCACGTCTCTGGTGCCTTCAAATAAGGAAAGTTTAATTATTTTTCATTAATCTTACTCGATCTAGTAACGCAGGACCTGTTTGTAAACAGCATTTGCCATAAATATATTTACCAAAACCATTTGTATTAAGAAGGAATTATAGGAAATATTAAAATATACTTCCCTATTTGGAGTATTTAATACAATATATTTGAAACGTTTCTGTTTTTTGATTTTTGATTTATGAACTTAAGCACCGAACTCGAGCAAAATCTTCATGGCTTTACTTACTTTCATATGATATTTCCCAATTCTGAATTTTAATAGGTTTCAAAAAATTTTAGCGACCCCCAAGGGCTAATACTAATAGATCATAAATGCACAATGAATTCGTACCAAATATTATCGGTATAAAAAGTCGTAATTTTAATATATTAAAGTTGTTTAAATAATGAATATTAATTTATTTAACGTATTTGGATTCTTTATCATTTAGTTATATTCCGTTTTGTTGAGTGATTGAAGCAAAATAAAACTGAACGAATAAAAAAAATCACTGAACAAAAAATACAAGCACGTTCTTTGTTATCTTTATCAGTAACTTGAACACTCGGCTCATAAAACACAATGTGCAACTTGACGCGCAGCCAATTCACAGAGACTAAAACATTTACATTGAAGACTAACGCATTTGAATTAATATGCGAAAACATTAAGATGGCATATTCAAATGAACCTCCTCTAACATATATACAAATGTATACTCGAACAGAATTATTGCCATTAATCACACAACGCAGATAAGGATTTCTCAGTCATGACGACATGACCTTTCATTTTTTCTCTTACTTATCCATGAATAAAATGTTTTTTGTATTCAATGATGATCCTTTGTTAGTAACGAATCCCATCAAGTGAAATCTTCCTAGAGCGCCAGGACGTGGCGCTATTAGGGAGTTGCCATAGCAACCACCTCTCCCCGGGCTCTTTTCTTCCGTCCCGCGGGGGGGGGGCGCCGTCGACGGCCACGATTGATTCGGAAATTAAGAAATTTGCGGGTCGGCGATCGGGTCCGCGTTTTCGTCGTGGGTCGGTCGCTCGCTCGCCCGCCCGCCCGGTCCTGTTTGGGTTTTTGCGGCGGCGTTCAAGTCCAGCAGGAGGGCTCCGCGCGCGCCCGGCGTTCAAGTCACCGGCGCTGACCAGCGGCGTTCGCGGCCACGCACGATGG